GACCAGAATTTCCGGTTCAAATCCCGGTTGGGTAATTTTTCTCACACTCACAAAATCCACTTATATATCCAATATATATAAATATATATATATATATATATATTGTATATAAAGATATGTGTATATATATATACATATATATAGGCCTATTAATTGTAATAATTCATATATTAATAGTGTTTATTTATATTTTCAAGGGAACACTGGGCCACCTGGACCACCAGGTAAACATTCATTATTCTCGTATTGGGTTTTTTACCTTTTCTCGTATCTATTTTTCTCAGATTTATAAAAATTCATAGAACACATGTGCAATTATTGATGTAATATTTTATCTAGAATTCATGTTGAAAATATGGTTAAAATAAAATAAATCCTGTTTTTAATTATTGTTATGCTTAATGGTTATTTTATTATTATTTATTAAATCCATAGGAGGCCCAGCAGGTAATCCGATAGGTAATATATATTTTATTATCATTATATAATATTATTATTCATCATCACCATTATCATAATTATTATTTGAATTATCAATATTAATATCAATATATGTAAGATTCATATTGTTATTATATATTACTGTTAATATGTTGGTATTATTATTATTATTATTATCATCATCATTAAAATCTGTTTAAAAATACAATCATGTTAATTAATAGACTTAGTAAACACAAACAATATTTAACTGCAAATTTATTGAAATTTACTAAACAGATCAATTTTAATTTTCCGTAACAAAATAGTTATTAAAATAAAATAATCTAATTTACAAAACATTTTACTGAGTTTTCTACCAGCATTTTTAAGAATTGCTTCAATAATTTACGTCTTGTGTTCTTTAGACCCATGTACTTCCAATCCCTGTGTGAATGGGATCTGTAGAAAGTCAGGCTCTTCTTATTCATGCATCTGCAATCGATGCTATTCAGGAAGCAGATGTCAATGTAAGTACCGTAGTCAAAAACAGGCCAGAAAATTATCAATTTAGAAATTAATAAGAATTGATGAAGCCAAATCAAGTGTATAGAAATTACCAGTAAAATTACATTGTTCCCTGATAATACTAATGAGGAAACGAATTATCACACTTAACTTAATAGGGGAATGAGTAGATTAGTTACCACATATTCTATGCAGTTAGATGCATTTCTGCTTAGAGCTAAAGTTTTGCAAATAAACGTACTATGTTTGTTAAAATGGAAACATTTTGA